CGCATGAACGGCGGGTTTGAGAATTGACCTCCGTATCTTGTTATAAATGCACACTCGATAGGTTATATTTCAATTACAATTTTGGAAGCGACCGTGTGACGACATAACAGCGGTCGATTGTATCACTTACAATTCAAACAAAGTCAAAACTAAGGAATGTATCCTCAGCTTTTGTTGTGTTTCTTTTTACCCCCTTCTCCCAATTTAAGTCTTCACTTGTGTCCAATTTCTTTTACAACAACCCCGTTTATTTATTAGTGCACTACCGTGTTTTATTTATTGCGAGTGTGCTCACAAGCCCGTAGAATCGAAACTGTAACGACTTGGTGAAGATTCGACTTCACTCGATTAACACAAGCCCCCCAGCTAAAAAATATTGTGACTCAATTAAACTGTTCCTATGTGACGATACTTTTAAAATTGGTGCGGAGTTAAGTATGCCAAAAGGCTCAACCTCCGATAAAATTTCCCACGTTTTTGCAGATAGAATGTTGTTTTGTTTTCCCACTGGACATTTGAGGCACGTGAACATGACCATAGGACGCACTAATGATTTAATAGACAGTCGTCGCTGTTTAATCCGTAAGCGTTACCTGCCAGTTAGGAGTTGACCTTTTTAAACAAACTTCTCAATTTTATTCAGTCAAGTTTGTAACGCAAAGTTGTATAAGTGTATAAATATAAAGCAAATACGCTTAAGCTTGATATCCTTGCAGGTGGATTCGAATTATTGGATTGAGAGGATTGAGAGCACTATAAGTGCTTAAATGCTCAGAATGAAAGATAATCAAACGAAGCTTAGGAATGGTCTTGACAGAATCAGAGCGGGAAGATATCAAAATTGCGAGACGGTTTTTGTTGGGGAGTTTTTCTTTTCAAAGATGAATACTTATTTATATTTTTCTCCACTGTGTGCGTCTATTTAGCAACATTTAGTTTGTGTGATAGCGAGGTCAGTCACTGAACAATTATGAATTTGAAGCGCATGTGCACTTTTAAATGCCCAAAAGTAATGAGCTTATTTTGCCAAACATTGAGCAACTTTCACTTTGTGGCGAAACTGAGACGAAGAGATCTCATCTGCAGCGCTGTGTGAGGCATGATCTAAAATCAAACATAGAATAAGTGCCGAAAGTGTCGTAGAAGTTTCCTTTAAAACTTTATACCTAAGACACGGTCAAAAGAATCTGGCAGCCATCACAAAACAGATGTCATTTGTAGGTGATTAAATGATCTTGTAGGTTTATGCACTCGTTCTTGATGTCTTTCCAGAAGCAGATGTTTACTTTACTGCGATGCCTAATAACCCTACTTACGTAAATAATGGAAGCATTGTCAAACTGGCGTGGGATTACAGTGACCCAAACAATGACCTTGTTGGAATTCTCTTTAGTGTTCTGGTAAAGACAGGAATTAAAGAAATGCTAGTTAAACAAAATGGTGTTGTCATGGAACATCAAAGTATACCCCCTGCTTACAAGGGGAGAATCAGGATAGAAGGGAGAGCTATCTTGGTCATTGAGAAAATAACTCCTCAAGACAATACCAAATTTGTATGTCAATTAGTTGATGGCGCCGCTGATCCTGAGAGTCAGGTTCATCTTATTGTAGCAGGTATGAGTTGTTAAACATTAGTGATTATGAACGATTATTAAGAAAGAATGAATTTTAATGATTTAAATTTTTCTGGGTATGTTTTATGTGATCTAACTGTCTTTCAATCTTTGCTAGGACAATCAATGTGCTTTTCAGCTAAGAAGTGCTAACTTACGGTATATATATCTTGTTAGACGTTTTGTTCTGCAGTATCGCTGAGTATTTTTACGAGTTGTGCCGTAATTTGACGAGCCCGTAGGGCGAGTTAAAATATAAATAACGAGTAAAAATACTCAGCGATACTGCGATACTACACATCTAATAAGTTATTTATTATCCAACATGCCAAACTGTTATTTCAGTGCGGGCGAATTTCTCGGATATTTATTTACAGGGAGTGCGTGACAGAAGTATGCGAAGCGGAATGGAATTGGTTCATTTTGTTCATTTGTTCATTTATGTCACACTATGTTCATAAAATTAAATAAAGTTTATTAAATAATCTAATAAACTTAGATGTATATTTGCCAGCCATTCTGACTCTTCGTCGTTAGAAATATGATTCAAATTGTCTGCCATTTTTTTTTCATAACTACAATTCAATTCTTTTCTTGAGTGATGCGAGAAAACTTGTTTAACCAGTACTCTACAGTACAAATACGGCGTGATATTTGCACTCATCTATGGCGTTATTTGTACTCTACAAAGTGTAGTTGTATAATAAAATCGTTTCTCTTTCTACTCTACTATCCTTGTAAATGAGAAACCCCTTACACACCCTCTCCTCTCCCACACCCCTCCAAAAATATTAATAGTGATAAAAAGGATAGCAATAATCTTGATAATCATTTTAAAAAGTATGGAAAGGAATGCAAGCAACAATGTTTTTAATTGTGTTGCCAAATAACTACAGGGGGTGGATCAAATGATTCATTTTTCAGTCACTTGTGCATATTAATATGGCTCTCTTATTCAGTGTATTTTTTAGATAGTCTAATTTTGCAGAAAAGTTTTTTCCTATCTGTCTTCACATTGTGTATGTCTCTTTTGTTGCTAATGAGCCCCATGTTAAAAGTGCTCTTATGGTATACAGTTCATTTGTTAACTGAAGGAAATTTTTATTTCTATAGCCTTTGAATCCAAATCCTGACAGTCAATGGCTTGCCTTTTTTAAAGACAATGAAGTATTATTACAAATTGACAAGGATTGCAGGTATTTTAAACATGTTGTCAAGCATTACTTGATTAGAAAAGGGAGGTCTTGATTAATTAGCATGGACATTTTAGCTCGAATAATGGTGCCATGATTATCTGCAATTGGTTGGTATTTATAAATGTAAAAATCTAGAGGGGTATATGTAGTCTCAATAATCACAATAATTGGAGCAGAAACTCATTGTAAATTACAGGGTGGTGTACGAGAAAACACTTAGGTCCAGAAGGTGTGAAGGTGTTTCTCATATTTTAAAGTCATAAAAGGGACTTTTTTGAGCTCTTCTGCAATTATCAGTCTTTTTTTTTGAGGTGGGCATGGCTATAATCAATTGATATGAGGCAAGGAGGTAGCAATGAAATGTGCAGCAAATAAACCAGTTCATCAGGAGGAATTATGTTGCTAAGATTAGTTCAGATAAGTTAATGATTAACTTCATTTTCCCTGGATTCCAGAACATTAAACAACCGGAATGACTTGTAGATCGTTTTCACTCACGTGACCAAAACCCTGACAACTGTTGCTACGCCGCCATAATTGTGTACAGATATCACATGCAAATCTACTGCGTCCTTTGAAAGAAGATGGTTTTGTGCTTGATTGTCGGCTGTGGAAATAGAAGTGGAAGGAATAAAGGATTATATTTTGCCAAAGTACCTTCGATAATTGAAAATCAAGGAAATGAAGCCAGAGAATTGTCAGCAGAAAGAAGATCACGCTGGATTTCTGCTATTAGCAGAGACGATCTCACTGATACCATTTTGGAAAACGATCGCGTGTGTGAGAAACACTTTGTTTCTGGAAGGCCGCAAAATCATGGGATAAATTTAACATTGATTGGGTCCCAACTCTAAATTTAGGACATAATAAGGAGACTGGCCGTACGGATCGAGAACAAGCAGCAAAAAGAAGTAAGAGGGCGAGGGAACGCGAATTGGTGAAGAAGCCGGCGTTTGCCAAAAGGGTGAAAGTACTAGAGTCTGAGAGGGAGGAGAAGTTTTTCAAATTTAGCGAATCGGGGCAGCAAAGTTTAGATTTAAACTTCGAAGGTAGCGAAGCAGAAAGTCTAGAGAAGCCCACAGAGAAAGGCTCATAAACTGACTCAAGAATGTTTGTTGACGTCGGCACGCAATCGGAAGAGTTTGCGTGCAAGCAAGTTTTCCATTTATCTTCGTCCACGCTTCTATGTAAAATAAAACGCTTGCAATATGCGAGCATGATTCAGCTAGCCCGGCCTTACAACCTAGGCAATGAGCGGATAAAATTGTCCCCTCCTTTTCTGCTATTATCCAGATAGGGTTCAAAGAGTCAATCATTCGTTGCGATTGTCTTACCTTGGCTAACACAACAAATATGTTTGCGATTATGTGGCCTTTTACACAGGTTATAAATCCCGAAACCATCTGATTGTTGGCTTCCAGGCTTTGGAAAGCCTTAAACTGTTGTTGCGTGTAGAAGCTCATCTCCAAAACCAGATAGAAAAGGAGATCTGTAGATTCAACTGGAGGCAAGCAGTCTGGTTGAAAATTCTTACTCTAAATAAGGACGGGATAGATCCCAATCACCAAAATTTTTTCCAAATAACGCTGCCTTACTCGTGGTTCTAGCTTCTTGGCGTACTCAGAAAGAGGAGGATGGATAATGATATCAGTATTGGCACTTAATTTTGCTTCCATTGCTGTAGTATTCATTTTTACAGGCAGAAATTGTTGATATGCTTATTATTTGCATATATTACCCTGCATGTATTACCCTGGGTTGTACACAAATATGGCGACCGGAAATGATGCGACATCACGTGAAAACGATCTATTGATAACATCAATGTCTAAAAAGGTTGAGGAACATTAATTTGTTATTATTTATCAACTATCCATCGATTACTGAATCATTTGAGTTGTATTGATTAACAAGTTACCACTGTGTCTGGTTAAAAATGCTAGTATTTAAAAAAATTTAGAAGCTTACTGGTTTGGTTACATATCAAGTGATCCCGTGATTCATATGTTTGTTACAGGAGACTGTGTCCAGATATTTCCTTTTTTCAAATAGCAACAAAGTATCCAAACAAGAAAGTCACAACTGGTAAGGAAGAGACATTTCAAATTTGTAACTCCAAGAGCTTGAGTTTTTAATCCAGCATATTTGGAGAATGAGCAAAAAAGAGAGAAAGAAAGTAATGAACTTGCGTCCTCATGCTGCCACAGAAACAAAGTACTACTAGGCAATAACTGAACAAAGCACTTAATTCACTGCCATGCCTCTTATGCAAATTTGTAAAGTATATAAGTGGTGGTAGTGAATATTCTTGTCAATAAAATCCCCTGATGAGTGAGCAATCACAAAACAGGCTTGTAGGGATAAAAATGTAGTCGTCATATTTTTGTACTCGTCATATTTTTGTACTCAACATATATTATATATATTTTTTAGTATAATTACTCAGGTGATTATAGAAATTCTCGTGCTCTTATTGGCCGAGAATGGTGTTATATTCCGCTATAATCACCTCCGGCGAGATGATTATAGTTTTAACCGCCTCCCAGTTAGCTCAATGGATAGAGCGCTGGACTGTTATGCAGGAGGTTGAGGGTTAC